GGGGGGGTTTGCTAGAAAGGGGGGTGGGGTTTCCGAACCATAAAACCCCCCATGGATACGGGCCTGAATTTATTTCCCAAGATTTGTATTTCTCAATACCTAGTTTATTTGGCAGTAGCCTGTTGCAGTATTCAGCTATTTAAAAATAAAATTAAGGTACCGGTACCCATATGCTATGCTTGGCAAGTAAATTATTCATGGATATAACACTTTTTGACGTTTTATACACAAGAGCCATCTAAAATATGGAAACAACACTCTCCACATTGCAGCGTTTTTGTACCTCCTGAAATTAAATAAAAATTAATTTAAAACAGTATTCCAAGGCTACAGTAATTACATTGAAACGTAAAAAAGGCAATTATATGGTAATCCAACTGGAGAGGGCAGCAGACACCTTTTCTGGAACATCAGACATAGTTCCAGCCGTTCGATAATGGTAGTGAGATGACTTGGTTAAGAGCCGAGTTGGTGTACGGGCCAAGTTGACATGGGCCGACTTGGTGTATGGGCCGAGCTGGCAAGGGCCGAGTCGGTTATGGGCCGAGTTGGTTATGGGCCAAGTCGGTTATGGGCCGAGTTGGCAAGGACCAAGTTGGTGTATGGGCCGAGTCGGTTTAAGGGCTGAGTTAACTTGAAGCCCGGCCAGGATTTTTTTTCCGTACGAAACATTTGCATGAAACTTCACTCGGGCCATCTCGGATTGAAGACTCGACTAAGTTCGTTACGAGGAACAAGAGCAGACACTTCGCAATGTCGTGACGCTCGACTTTTACTATTATTGCTCTTTCTATGGGCCCGTTTACGAACTTTCGAAAACCGGATAACTCAAGTCTGAGGTGATAATTAATCATTCCTCAACTAGCTATAATTCCTAAAACATCTTTCCGGATAAGTTTGGAGGGTTGGAGGCTGCCTCGGGTGCAATAGCCGCAATTTATATTTCCCTTTATTTTCCTTATATTGGGGAACGACATCCATACAAGATGGTTTTGATGGAACCCGACGAAACAACGCCGTTTATAAATAAATCGCACAGAAGATGCAGGAAATGGGTTATAACTTTACGCACGCAGATAGAATACCAATGCAAGAACCTGCGCAAAAAAATACATCCAGGAAAAGGACTCTAACGGGAAGTCAGGAACCCCCTCCCCCAACAACAGAATGGCCGTATTTTGAGATGATGAACGAAATTTTTGGTCCACTTCTTGTCCACTACACACTGTTGACAGGTCATTGTCAGCTCTGACCACCAGTGGAATTGTACAGTAATAGTAAGTCCGTAGGCTATTTTTTTTCCTTTGTTTTTTTGTAATTTTTCCAGTTGGCTAGGCTCTAGTTTCTAAGGCCTGGGGTTTTTTTTAGAATTGGTTTGAGTTCGAGCGTGGGCAAGGCGAGGTAATTCGTTGTTGAATTGCCTTGTTGGGCTGAGGAAGGCTAAGCGGTGAAGTGTGTTTTATTTACACGAAAGGCCTATACCTTACTGTCCGTATCCGAATAACTTGGGGTTCGTAAACGAGCGATCTAATGACCTACCCTCTGGGCATTATGTCATTTTTGACTTATCCGGTTTCGTTGAATGTTCGTAAACACAACCTATGTTTACCTACGGTAGCCTATGAAATCTTACGGATTTATGGGATTTACGTGTGTAACTAACTCTGACCTTGTATGTTATTAAATGTTAAGTAGGCCTACAATATATACAACAACAACAGCTAGTACCCCCTTTTATAAAGTGTAGATAGGTACAGTAATACCAAAGTATAAATTATAGGCCTAACTACAGACTGAGTTAAGTCCTCCTAGGCCCCTCCCTAAAACTAGGCCTATGTCCCTAGGGTCCTAGGTTGACACCAACAGTCGCGCTTCACATGACGCTGATTGAAATTTTGGAAAAAAAATTGAAGCATGAAATAAAAAATAGAGTGCATGAAAGAAATATAATTAAACAATAATAAATAAAATATACCATTCCGGCGTTAATATTGAACTTGGACAAACTATCCTTGTAATGTAATTAATGTTAAATAATAATAATAATAATATTATTATTATTATTTATTAATAATAATAATAATAATCATTTTAGCATTAATTACCTTGGCCTACTTAAGCCTTGTAATCAAGAACCTACAGATACTAGGCCTATAATTAATAACTAGCCCAAGGGAAATATCTTTTGTGTTATTTCCCCTTAACGTTGTTTTTTAATTGTAAGTTCTAATTTCTCCATTGTCTAATGTTCCCCTTATAAGGTAGGTTTATCAAATTAAATAATGATAATAATAATAATGATAATAATGATGATGATGATGATATTATAATAATAATAATAATAATAATAATAATAATAATAATAATAATAATAATAATAAATAAATAACTAGATTTGAACTCGTCACTGAGGACGAGTTTGGTGATCCGCCGTACTTTGACCCTCA